CACGGAAAGTCAGCCACGAGTTCCACGAGGTTAATCCAACCATCATGATCATCAAAAGATCTCAGGCGCCACACAGGATTATGTGACTTATCTGGCGCATGTCTACATATCCTGATGATAGCTTTGCTTAACCTTTTAAGAATATCATTGGATGTGGGAAGAATTCCGGCCTTCCTGCATTCCTTCATGAATGACTCATCCACCGAACGTATCGGTGGGAGCTTCCGAAGAGCCAGTCTATCCCTAATCAGATCTGGAGTCCCACTAGTAAAGGATGTGTCCCCTGGGTGGTGCAGCTGAACTACTGGCGGGTTTCCCCGCATCGGAGCCTCTGTTGCCGAAGAGGCTGCGGCTCCAGAAGAGGAGGAAGCTGCGGCAGCAGCGCCTGGCGGGTTTCCCCGCGGAGATGCGCGACTGGCGCTGCCCCTGATCTTCGGCACCCAGGTGCCCCTCGACAAAGCACCTTCGTCGGACCTCCTGGAACGAGCCGCCACAGGCGAAGCCGGCGCAGGTGCATACCCACTGCGCTCGAAAGCTGCCGCCCTTTTCTCAATGGACTTACTGCGGCTAAGCGGACGTCTTCGTTCCTCAGTGGGGTCCTGAGGTTGCTGCTTGGGCACAGATGCTCGTGTAGGAGCTGTGCCAATCGGCGGCTTCGGCGTCGCAGATCGAGACACCTCCATATGCGCGTCTGGCCCAGGGCTCTGAGAGCTCGCCTTCGGTTTCGGCGCCGGAGGCGGCTTAGGTGTCGGGGGTTCACTCTTGGCCTTCGAAGTTAGTGGGAGTGGGGGCTTTCTAGCCCCCTTCATGTAGAGCTTGCTGGAATCCTCCAGCATCTTGCGAGTTGCCTCGCGTGTGCGTTCTTCTACTGTCCGAATATGCTCCTCATCTTCCGCCACACGTTGAGCCTTTGTCTCGTCCTTGATGATCGGCTCTGGTTGTTGGGACTGGCTAGAGACGCCAGGCGAGTTTCCTCGCATACCAGGAAGACTAAAGAGCGCGTCTTTCTCTTCCTGGGTCATGGCTACCATTCCCCTTGGAGCCGGAGTAGGTTTCTCTTCTTCTTTCGGATCCAAGTGGCCCAAGATCCCGAGACGACTATTCACTACTGCGATCTCTTCCGGTGTCATCGGGCCAAGTGGCGGATGGCCCTCTTTAGGAGGGGTTTTGCCCCTGTTGGGGCTCAGGCCTTCGTTGTTTCCAACGGGGCATCCTGGCCTGTGATTCTGGAACGGCTGGGAACAAGGACCACATGCAGCGTGAGGCCTATACTGCTTGCGAGCCGCGATAATATCTCGCAACTGGGTCCGCGCTTCTTGAATTTCAGGGCGGCGGATGTTTGTTGCAAGCTGATAGCCTCCACGGATGGGCCTGCCATCGCCGTCCCTATAGGCAGGATTGCCCTGGCCAAAGGCCGAGTGTTCCCCTTTTCGGCGTCGTGGGTCGTTGTACGGAAGTAGCTGGCCACCTCTTCTGAGAGCGTGTTCCTTTGGGCCAGCCTGTCTCCACTCACGAGGAAGTCGAGCCTGGGGATGTGGCTCTTCTCTGACGCGCGTATGGGAACGAGATCTTCTGGTGTTCTCATCAGAAGAAGCTGCCGATGCAGCAGGAGCGGCACCCGTTGGAGGTGCTTGAGGAGGCTCCTCTGCGATCCCAGATGGATCGCTCGATGGAGGCAGGTCTCCCTGCTGGGTGGAGCTCGGCGCAAGTGGCTCTTGTGCCGATGGTGATGATGATTCAGACTCATCAGGGTCGAAATCGACCTCTTCCTCACCAGTCACGTCCATCATGAGGATGGTGACGTCATCCTCATCTAACCCACAACCATCGCCTTCTACTTCTTCTGATGTCGAACTACCAATTATGATGGCCATTGGCGCATCTGGTAAAGGCAGGTTTCCCTGCATGGCCGGCGTCTGGGCGTCGCTCGGCTGTCCTGGAGTAGGAGGCGCAGTCGTCGGCTCAGGGTCATCGACGAGCATAGGCTGCCTAGCAATGTTACGCATGGCCGTATGGTTTGGCCTCATCCCCAGCTCCTGGAGATTCCATCCTGGCGGGGGAAGATCATGACCACGCATAGCCATTGCCATTTCCAGGGCACGACGCCATCTACCATGGGAGTATATCAAGTGTCTCTGCACTTCCTGAGGATTTATACTGTCAATGAGAGTCAAAGCTGCCAAGAGTAGCTCTGAGCTACCGCAAGCATCATTATCCTGTTCTGTCATGATGCCAGCTTCGATGTGTTCTTGACTCTCAGGATAACCAATTGTGAGTATCTCATGCATCCTCATGAGGGTCTGCAAAAGGGTACGTGGTCCATATTCGCCTGGAGCAAGCGAACCAGGAGGTATGAATGGAATATCTGGTTCGCCTGCAATGAAGGCCTGAACAAATGCCTGAGACTCCATTTCGATTAGGTCTTCAGTGGTCTGGGGATATTCTCCCATCAAAGAGGGCCTGTTTCCAGGCGGGATTTCGGGCGGAGGTTCGAGGTTCCGTTGAACCTCGGAAGGCGAAGCCTCTATAGTGGTGTCCTCGTCGTCGCTCTCGTAGGCCATGATGTTGCCTGGGTTCCCGAACATCCAGTCGAAGAAGGAAAGAGGCTCGTTTCCGAGCGTACCGTGTTCCACGGGAGTGAGTTCATTACTGCCCATGACGAACCGGCGGACGTACTCGAGGTAATACGCGTATAATCCATGACCATACCCCTCGAGCTCGTCAATGTTGTCCATGCCAACGACCCATGTGAAAAATATCTGTTCCATAGCCTCAAAGTCCTGGAGGCTCAGATACTCAATGGATGGTGTGCTTGAGCCGAAATGGACTTCGGACGACATGCCCTTTCCATTTCCCTTCGCTGGACAATCTCGCACAAGATGATCGGTACTACCACATTCATGGCATTTGAGAACCTGGCCGTCTCTACCTCGCGGGTTTCCCCGCCTACCTTTACCTTTACCTGAGGTCTCTCTACGGCCTTTACCGCGGCCTTTTCCCCCAAAGAATATCTCATCATGTTGTTCATCTGAGAGCCTCTGGAGAAATGCCGCGATACCTCGCCCGTTCAACCTCCGACGACCACGCTTGCCTTTACCCTTTCCTTTAAAACTTCTGCGTATCCTCCTTCTAACACGACGCACTGGTTTTCGTGTGAACCTCCTCCACCTTCGTTTAGCCTGTTGTAACAGCCAGAATAAGTGCTCAGCACGCTGATTGTCGTTATCCATATTCATGATATCTGACCAATCTAGAGCTTCAACACCATCTGATGATATAGTGTCTGTATCGGTGCCGGAGTCGAAATCTTCGTCTCCTAAATAGGTGGATACACCGTCGGTTAGGGGATTTGATTCCCCCCATAACGAGCGGTGTGGTTGTGGTTCTCTAGAAGGAGGGCTGGTTGCCCAGCTTGGTTGTGATCGATCCCCTGCTAATAAAGCAGTGGATTCTCCTGGGTCATCGGCCCATATGTTTGAGGGCCCGTTTCCAGGCTGGGCTTCAGTAGTCAAGGTAGTGTAGAAATTTCCACTACCAGATCCCCTTCCTCTTCCAAACACGGATCCTATGTTGCCAGGAGATCGTTCGGATAGGTGGCCTACCGAACGCATCCTTTCCAGCAACTCATCATATTGTTGTTGTGTTCGAGGCATTTGGTGGTTGAGTGGCTGTAAGAGTTGCATGGCTTTCTGGTTGCCGACGCCTAAGGCGCGGAATAGGATAGTGGTTAGCAGTTGGAAGTTAGGAAGGTCGAATCCCACCGACTGTGCCTCAAGTCGGGCCATTTCGAATCGGGTAAGAGTGACATCGATTCGTTCCCCGTGAGGCACATGGAAGTCGATGAGTTGTGTGCCGGAAGTGAGCTGTCGCTCATCTTCCAGGCGTTCGAACTTCATGCTAAGGAGGAACATGATGTAAGTTACTGGGTCTGTGTGGACTCCATCAATGTCAGCACCATAGTTTATAATGTCAGGCGGTACCCTCATGGCGAGTGTCCTCGCTAGGCCTCCCAGGCCGCGTTGTATTGCGGCCGCTTGGGCCTGTGGCGTCATACGTCCGCTTGTAACGTTGAGCCACGCGTTGACCTCGTAAATGTACTCACGAAAAGGACATTACCCTGAGGGTCCCAATATGGGCCATGTGTTTGCCCATCGGTGCTGTTATCTCCCCGACGCATGTGTGCGATTGCTGCCCCCAGCGCGAACCATATGATAGCGAAAACGATTAGCCCGAGAATGTGTAACGAAGGACGGTTATGATGAGCGGTGTCGCGCTGGGGTAGCGCCTTATCGAGTCTTCGAGGCGCTCTGTCTGGCGGGTTTCCCCGCCCTTGTTTCAGGTATTGCGTTATTGGCTCGTTGCCGAGCGGTTGATAGTAACGCAATGATGAAGCGTATATGGTACCAATCTGGTCGTCTAGACGTCGTACCTCTCGTGTCGCTTCTTGCTCTTGAATAGATCCCCGTAAATGTACTGGGAGTGGTGGCGCAGGGTAGTAGGTGGTCACGAAGATCGTGCCGAAGAATGTGAGGCTAAGAAGAGCAAGAGCTGACCACACGAGAGTGCGGCCAGCTCCGCTACCAAGTCGAAAGTGAGCCTGGTAACTCAAATAGGGCATATAGCCTGGCAAATTGCATCCATCGCTCTGCTGTGAGGGTACAGTATGAGGGGTGGATGGGTAAGATAGGCTAAGATCGATGTAGTGATCTTTCCAGCACATAGCGAACACAAGCAGTGTCCGGGCAAACAGGGCGCGCGTGCCTTGAGCCCAAGGCAGCGGCGCGCGAGCTATGCTCCCGATACTGTAACATCTCCCAAAGAGCTACCCTTAAAGTCTGGAGGAGGAGGGAGAGGAGGGTAGGAGGAGGGGGGCAGGAGGAGGAGAGGAGGAGGAGGGGGAGACAGGGAGGTGAGGAGGAGGAGGGGGAGACAGAGGGGAGGAGGAGGACGAGGAGGGAAGGCAAAGGAGTTTTTGTTTGCAACGTCCGAGGTACCGCGAGGTCAAGCAGATCAAGTCCACCTCTTGCCCGACGAAGGGCCCATACACGTTCGCGCGCCTCCACGAGGAGTTCGTGATCACGAACTTTAAGGAGGTCTACCCGAGGTTCCAAATGTATTATGATGCTGATCTGGTGTGCAAGACGCTGTGCACCCTGAACGCTTACACGGACTTCAAAGAGATGATGGATCCTGTTGCCAATTACCTTTCAAATGCTGCCACTCTCGAGGTCGTCCTTGCGAACATGGCCGACGTTGTCCGCAAGGTGCTGGCATACGAGGACCCTGGAAGAAGGGGGAGCAGGAGGAGGGAAGATGACGGAGGATATGAGGAGAGAGGGAGGGGGGGAGAGAGGGAGGGAGGGAGGGAGGGAGTGAGGAGAAGGAGGAGGAGGAGGAGGAGGAGGGAGGAAGGAGAGGAACGAGGAGGAAATGGAGAGGAGGGTCGAGGAGCTGAGGAACGAGAAGATGAGGCTGAGTTTTTGTTCAGGCTTTTTGGGCCAAAGGGGACGCTCAACGCAAACCATCGCGTTGAGATCCCGATCAGGATGCTCACTCGATCTTCGAGCTGAAAGAGTTCCTCATGATCGGCCTTGGTTTCACGGTGCCGTGCCACAGCGACAGCCACTTCGGCGTGGGCGACCAGTTTGCGTTCGCGAAGCATCGCTCAGACCTGATCGAGCTTCTCGACGAGCCTATGTCAGGCACCATCGTTCTGAGGCGCCAGCTGGCGGCTGCCGCCACCGCCAGGCCGCAGCACGAGAAGGAGAAAGATGAGCCGTCCAGCAAGCGCCGTCGCGTCAACCATCAGAAGATGGCCCTGGCAATCGTGAGCGCAACGAAGGAGGAGTCCGTCAGGATGAGGGGTGACACCGACGGTGCCACGCGGCCTCTTGTCATCTTCGACGACATGGCCTGGCTTGCGTTCGGGTCCCTCGACCAGGTTTCCAAGAGCAAGATCGACATGGAACTGGTGCGGAAGGTCATTGCAGCTTGCTTTAAGTTCGTGTTCTACAAGAGCACGAGCTTCGACGGCGAGGTGTTCGATAAATACTCCGACATGCGGAAGGCTTTGCACGCGAAGATCGTAGAGGCTCACCTTACAGATATCGCTGCAGTGCGGTTCCCTAAAGATGACAAGAACACTGGCGCCGACCCGACGAAGGTGGATGACGTCCTGAGCCTCTGTGAATCCAATCGGGCCAAGTCGGTCAACGAGACTGCGGCAGTCGAGTCCGTCGGCGCCGCGCCCGCGGTGCCAGTGAAGTCACGGTCGGAGCTCCTCGCGGACTTCGCGAAGGAGGCGCAGCAATGCCAAGGCTGGATCTTCGACCTCTATGAGTCGAAGAACTGCTGCAAGGACACGTTCCCGCGGGCCACCGAAGACATTAAGTCTTGGGCGGGGAAGCAGCAGACGCTTTTGATGGCCAACGTCGGCGTGGTCAGCCAGCTTGGTAGGCCAGCGGATGCGAAGAAGATATCACTCGGCCAGCTCGCCAGCATTGCAGCCAACAAGTTCATCGACATGCACAATGAGCCCGCGAATGTGTACGTGGCTATGTTGGCAAAGCTGTACCGAGAGAGCGTGGACTCGACCAGCGCCGAGTCGAAGGTGGCTGCGACAAAATTGTACGATCAATTGACCATCGCCTTCGACGACGACGGAACTGAATACCGCGACCTGGTGGTGAATATGGTTAACCAGAGGAACCTTTACATCATCGAAGTGATCAGATTTAACGGGGCAGGGGTGAACCGTTATACCGAGTTGGATGCCGCCGAGTACGTCTCCAAGCTCAGGGTGGTTCAAGCATCAGGTGCCCTGGGTGTCGTCGATATGTGCTTGAAGCGCTCCCACTACGAGTCTGGATGGGCAACGATTATGGGCGTTATCGCATCAGTGGCTGACGTCAGCAAGCATGATGAAGTTGGTCAGACTCTCTGCGCATCTCTGTTGTCCAAAGGGTTCCTGGATCCGATCTGTGGAGTTCTCATGGGCGTGGCCGCGAACAGTCTCAAGGCAACTGAGGTGCAGGACTCCGTGGACTCCGTGGCTGTCGAGTCGACTGCCGAGTCCCAGGTGCCCGAGTCGCTCCCGTCCGTTGCTGCTACCCCGCCGCCTAAGGCTTCCACGACGGACTTGACGAAGAACACGCCAGATGACAAGCACCCGCAGGACCACGTGGTAGCTATCTCGTCAGTGAGGGCCCGCGCCATCCCCGACTTGGAGGGGCCTTTGTGCAGGCTGTACCACTTTGCGAAGTTCCTGGAGTCGCACATCTGGGCGATCACCCAGCTCTCGAACCAGATGCGATTGGGAGGGGTGTCTCCCGATACGCCGCTGGACAAGATCTACATGGATGAGACGGGCGCTGGCAAGAAGATCTGGCTCAAGACGCCCGTCAAGAACGTGTGCCTCAACTACGTCGGCAACGTCAGCATGATGCCCACGGTCGGCAGCGTCTGGGTCGCCAAATTCTGGGGCGTGGACTTCTACGTGAACGGCCACGGGTTCCGTGACCTCTAACAGTTTTGAGCCGACGATCTTGAATCGCAACTCGTTGTTTCCCTGGGCCCTGGGTCCCTGGTCCTTGGCCCCTGGGAACATGTCCTTGGGCCTCGCTGGGCCCATGAAAGGAATGGCCGCGCAAACCAAGAAGGGAAAGATGACAAGGGGCAGGGAGAGGAAGCAGAGGAACATAAAGATGGGGAGGGGGAAGAGGGGGAGGTGGAGGAGGAGGGGGAGGAGGAGGAGGAGGAGGAGGAGGAGGAGGAGGAGGGGCGCCCCGCATTTTAGGCCGGCTGCGGGGTGCGATTCCAGAACGGAGCGGCGTAAGGTTTGATTCGAATACTTGTGACTATTTCATTCCCGCCTGGGCCATCAAGGAAAAGGGGGGCGACGAGTGTCTGATTGAGTGTGTGAATAAAACCAGCGTCGAATACAAACTCGGGAAAGCATCGCACACGGTGGAAGTGAGTGTCACGTCGCTCCGTCTCAGTCCTGAGTTTAACAATCCTGACACTGCCGCTAAGCTGGCATTGAGTCGGCCGAGTGCGATTGAGCACACGGTCGCGGCTAAGCCCCAAGGGTAAAGCGAAGGCGAAGGCCCAAGGGTAAAGGCCGCCGCCTCGACCAACCCGAATGCCAAGCATTTGCGCACCTAAGCTCAAATGCTCATCGATCCCCAAGCCCCGTCTCGAATACGTGTGATAAAGAATATCCAACACCCCCATAACCACATAACCTCTTCCTCCGACGGCGTGCTCTTTTCTGGGAATGCTGGGTTTGCCAGCGTCTGCTTCCTCAGACGGCGTGCTCTTTTCTGGGAATGCTGGGTTTGCCAGCGTCTGCTTGCCCGCGGAGCCGTCGCTAGTGCGTCGGGCGGCATCGCGGGCCCTCGAGAGCCCTCGAGGGCGCACAGAGAGCCTCGGGGAGGCCGATCTGTTTAGGGACCGCAGCTTCCCCCTCGCGAGTTATTTGAAGATGGAGGGATAAGGGATAAGGATGACGAGAGGGAGAAGGAGAGGAGGAGGGAGAAGAGCAAGTCAGGAGGATGGCATTAGGGATGGAGGGAAGAGGGGGCGGGCAGGTATGAGAGAAGAGGATAAGGATGAGGAGGAAGAGGACGGAGGAGGAGGAGGAGGAGGAGAAGGAGAAGGTGGAAGATCAGGAGGAAGAGGAGGAGGAGGGAGAAGGAGGAGGAGGAGGAAGATGAGGAAGAGGAGGAATGCGGATTAGCTGGGTGGTGACTCTTGACTCGCTCGAGCTGCAGCTAGGCCGCACGTTGCGTTCGCTACCTCTTGCAACGGGCGTTGAAAGCATTCAAATTCCCACGCCCGCATCTGCTCCTACTTCTTCCGATTGTTGTCCTCGTTATCGCCCTCTTCCTCTCTCCCTCTCTTCCTCTCAATCACTCTCCTGCTTACTATGCGCAATGCCCTGGATGTGCCGTGCCAAGGAGGGGCCCAAGACGCGCCGTGCGCACCCAGCTACGCCATGCGTCTTTGCCTCTCGCTCTTAGTTCGTCCACCAGGGCATCCTCATGTCCGTCCTTCCATCCTTCGTCGTCTTCCTCTTTCCTCCCCGTTTCACTATCCCTCGTTGAATCGTTGAACGAATTTTGGCAAAAACGCAGAGACCCACGATGCACCAATCTGTAGGTCCGATGATTTCCATGTACTCGCAGAGCGCAAGTTATATTAAAACTAGCTTTCGCTACGCCCGCGCTATGCGCAACGCGCAAAATTGCGAAGAGTGTCTCTTGCAGCATACAAGCAAATTGATGCTTAATATCGACTAACTGTTCTGCCAGGTCAACTTGATGCCGATTGGCCGTTCGAAAAAAACGGCCCCAGTTTCTGACGGCGAGTTCCAGTGGGAACCCCCAAACCGGGTGGTGAGATACCTGGAATCCCCAACAAGGTCACCGCTGGGTTTGGGGACGCGGGGTCACCGCCGGGTTTTGTGACTCCTGGACCCACCAACGTTCGGGACATCCTCGGAAAACCGCACGAGCCCCCAAACCGGGCGGTGACACCAAATCGCCCGAGACTCACCGCCAGGTGTTGTCACCACCACGTTTGGGGACTACCAATTCCCAATTCCACCCTCACTCGTGACCCAGCCGTTCCAAAGTGACCGGATGCAAGCAGCCAGCGCCCGTGGAGGGCACATCGGGGCCACCGCGGGGAGCGTCGTCAGCACCCTGCCCACCATGGTGTCCACGGAGAGGCCGCTCTCCCACCGCGATAATCTCGCCTGCAGGAAAGCACGCAGCTCAGGAGAGCGGTCGGGAGTAATCAGCCGCGTGCAGGTGCGCTGCCAGACCCTGCGCTGTCGTTCGCTGCTGCTGACCCCCGTGGCGCGGGCTACCCGCGATGGCGTCAGACCGCGCGCCTCGAAGGATCGCCGGGCAGCGTCCAGCTGGAGGACGAACGCCTGGCCGAACCATGGGCACCAGGCGCCGAGGCGCTCCAGCGACTGGGAACAGTGCAGCCGTGCCTCGCGAAGCCGGGCAGCCCGCTCCACCACGCGGAGACCGCCTTCCGAGGCCGCCTCCCACTGGCATACCCGGTACTTCGACGCCAAGGCCACTGCAGGGAGATCTGGAAGAGAAGCAGGGAATCCCAGAAGCGGCAGTCCGTGCACGGCAGCTGGCGGTGCCCAGCGGAAAGGGCCAGGGTAGAGGAACTGCGTTGCGTCGGCCTCAAGTTTTGGCCACCGCGCTGGCGGGGCGTCCAGCTGCGCCAGGAAGCTCAGGGTCGAGAGTGCGTGCACCAAGTAGGCCACCGTGTTCGTGCACATCCCGCCTCCGGGGCGGCCCCACTCCTGAGCCCGCTTCTTGGACTTCGCGCAGGCGGCATCCCAGCCGTGCTCGCCGCGATCTGGTCCCAAGACGAACCCGAGATATTTCGCACGGTGCGCGAAACGTACTCCGCCCCAGGAGGGCGCGCCCGCCGCGACGGCGGCGCGAGCGTCTGCGGGGTCGCCTGTCCGGAGCGGCACCCAGTAAGTCTTGCCGATGTTCAGGCGGAGGCCCGAAATGGCAGCATATTCGTCGGCAGGAAGACAATCAAGCTGTCGTTGTAGCTCGGCAGATCCCGCATGATGGCTTCGTTCGCTCCCGGGCTGCTCAGCTGCGCGTAGGCGCCGTGCAAAACCTCCACAGCCAACGGTCCGAGCCGCTTCCAGGCTGCTCCTTAGGCGGAGGCAAGCTGCGCAACTTGTGCTACGTTCGTGGGCTTCTGGGAGGCACCGCGGAGTCGCGGAATTCGGCATCCACGCGGGACCTCGCTGCTACGCTGGTGGCTGCGAACTGCACTGCGCAATTGTTGCCACTTTTCGTGGGTTCCTGGAAGACAAGGCGGGAGTACGCACACCCAGGCGAGGCCTCGCTGCTCCCTTGGTGGATGCGAACCGCGCAAGTGTCGCCAGTCTCGTGGGCTCCTGGGAGGCACGGCGGTGTCGCTGCGTAGGGCATCCAGACGGACACACGCAGCTCACCGGGTTGCCTCGAACTGCGAAATTGTCGCCACGTTCGTGGGCTGCTGGGAGTGACGGCGGAGTCGCGGCGTACAACATCCAGGCGGGACCTCCCTGTTACGCTGGTGGCTGCGAACTGCGCAATTGTTGCAACGTTCATGTGCTCCTGGGAGGGACGGCGGAGTCGCGGAGTACGTCATCCAGGCGGGACATCGTAGCTCCCAGGTTAGCTGGGATCTGCGTAACTGTCGCCTCTCTCGTTGGCTCCTTGGAGGCACGGCGGAGTCGGGGAGTACGCGGATCCAGGCGGAACCTCGCAGCTCCCTGGATGGATGCGAATTACGTCGCCACTTTTGTGGGCTCCTGGGAGGCACGGCGGAGTCTGGGGCCACGCGCACCCAGCAGAGACCTCGCTGCTCCATGGGTGGCTGCGAACTGCGCAACTTGCGTCACCATCGCTGGTTCCTGGGAAGTTCAGCGGAATTGGCCTCGCGCGCCCAGACGAGACTTCGCTGCTTCCTGGATGGCTGCCAAATGTGCTACCGTCACCACTTTCGTGGGCTCATGGGAGGTCCAACGGATTTGGAGGCCACGCACACCCAGCCGAGACCTCGCTACTCCCCGGGTGGCTACGAACTGCGCAATTGTCACAACTTCCTTGGCTCCTGGGAGGTCCTTCGAAGTCGAGAACCACGCGGATCCAGCCGAGACCTCGCGGCTCCCTGGGAGGCTGCGAACTGCGCAATTGTTGGCACTTTCGTATGCTCGTTGGAGGCAAGGCGACATGAGGCCATCGCAGATCGTGCATATATGGCGATGTTTGTTTGTATGGAGCGTTCAGCCAAAGATTCGCCTCGCGTGGAGAAGGAGTTCGGGACGCTTCATGCAACTTGTAATGACAACTCTGTCTTGCGTTTGCCAAGAGGTATGAACGCCTGCCGCCTCCCGGCCCGCTCGAGCGCGCGTGCGAACTGCCTCTTCCGCGCAACGACGTAACACATGTTTGCCGAGGGGCTAAACGTCGGGGCAGTTACCTGCATCCGCGCATCGCGCGTCATGGAGCGCCCAAGACCATCCAGAATGCGATGGACAGCCGCCCAGACCTATAGACATATCAAGGCTGTTTGAAATCTTGACTATTCAAATTACCAAGTGCTAGTTGTCCCAATGTCCTACATATGGAACTCTTGATATTGGAATAGCGCATCTGCTTCGTCACTCCAGCCCTCTACGTTCCACAATCACACTGGCTCAAAGCCAGGTCCCCTGACGCTCAGATCCACTCACACACTGACAGACTCAATCGTGCCGAGACTCGCTCACACTCGGAATCACGAATACTTAGATAACTCATACGCAGACCACATACCTTCAGGTCCACTTTTTTTTGCCAGCAGCGGGGGCGGAGCAGGCGGGAGTGGCATCGCCGAAGTGCGAATTAACAGAAAGCGCAAGGGCAATCCAAGAGAGAGAGAGAGATCAACGCTCCTGCATCAGCCAAATTTACAAGGAGAAGGAAACAATTGAGACAGTTTAACAGGGCAAGAATTGCAGTTCACAAACAGCCTGTGCTCACGCAACCCATGGATTTGCTGGGGATCCCACGTGCTGGGGCTGCCCAGATGCAGCGAATTATACACTTCCACACATTGTCCACTTCGTCACCATTCTCCTCCTCCTCCTCCTTTTCCACCCTCCCCCCCTCCTTCTCCTACACCAAAGATCACGGGGTCGGCATCTGGCGCAGCGCCAGCGGCTTGCCGGGTCGGAGCTGTCATTGCCCGGGTTTGGCCAGCCGCGGCAGCACCGTGCGTGGGCAGTCCACCCGTCCCTCGAGTCACGCCACGCGAAAACCTCTCGCGGCGAGGAAACCTGGCGGGCATAGAGCAGTGCACACCAGGCACAGTGATCAAGGAACACAGAAACGAGGGTGAGGAGGAGGAGCCCAGGGACGTGGAGGAGGAGGCGAAAGACAGGGCAACCGACGGCAACAGTTTGGCGATTTTCGAATCCAGTAGATACCACCCCTAACATCTGGTTAGCACCTTGCGCGCTCGTCTCCTGGCGGGTGCCTGCCGTGGTTCCTGCTCTGCGGGCTCATAAAAAATCGCACGCGGTACCCCCGCCGTGTTGGCGGAGTACACGGGGAGCGTGGATACACTGCGCCTGTTCTCGCGAAAGTGCATCCACCAATAGACACGAGCGAACCAGAATCAAAACAATCATGAATCAAAACATGTGCGTAGATCAGCATCTACGTGGCTCTACACTCAGAGACCAGCATAGCGTGGACCTAAATGCGGGAAAAAAAGCGGCGAAGATGGTGCACTTAGCCATGCAGCACGTTGTCGGAGGTGGTGCGCGCGGTCTTCACCGATATCGCGCATGCGCCGTGTCTCGAGGTAAAATGCCTCACCATCCTCGTACGTGTGCGGCTTGGCTAGAATGTCTACACATACTCCCGCTGGAACCTCCCAAACGCGATTGGCATCGAGAGCGACATCTGCATCCCTGCGGCTCTGTGTCGACAAACTGGCATTGCAATCAAAAATGTCTCAAACAACGCGACCACGATCAAGCAGGCATCGCCCATCATCGACGAAGTTGCCATCTCCTTGAATGCAGAGGCTGTCCCCGGCACAGATCACAGGCTCGCCCTGTAAAGAAACAGACTCCTCTGGTGTCAACGCGAACGACAAGAAGGACAACTCGCAGGAACCCCGCTTGATCGTCTGTGCCTTGACCCACATTCCAAGAGGGGCGAGCACCTCATTGAAGTCAGCAAGCCACTTCTTAAGACCTCGCTGGTAGGGCGTCCGCTGCTTAAGTCTAGGGATGAGGAGGATCGGCCACATCCCATACAAAAGCGTAAACATAGGTGTCACAACAATAAGAGGGCACCAGAGCGCGAAGTTCCATCCTGTCCACAGCCACATGCTTGGATGACGCCACGCCTCTGTATTGACCTCCTTCAACTTCTGCAGCCACCCCTGCCACACCGTTTCGTCCAGGCCTCTGCAAGCCAATTCATTAGGCATAGCCTGACCATCAAGCCCGGGGGGCATGGCCGGGAGATTGCGCCAGGGATCCACCCTAGATGACCAGAAATACACCAAGCGCTGCCCCAGCTTCGGCCTGATCAAGCGCGCGTCCTGGGCACCACCCGCGCACTGCTTCTTGATGTGCACGTTGAAGACGGAAAGCATGCTGGGGACGTAGATGTAGAAGATAAACATGGAGGAGAACAGCAAGAAACACACCACGATGTAGTCCTCACACGGCAAGAGCTTCCCGAAGTGCTGGCCCCACGCTCCGAGATATCGGACGACGATGGTGAGCATGATCATGGAAAAACACGTTGCGCAAAGATGTGCTCGCTGCAGAATTTGTGGCTTGGCCCATGCTGGGAGCAGAAGCACGGGCCGTACGATGAAGACCATGCCTCCGATTTGACATCCGCTGAAAATCGTTGTTCCAATCTGCAGACCAGCACAGAATGCCTGGCAGTTAGACACTTCCTGGAAGGACCCGTCTGCATTTACGATGGCTTCGCACAACCTCACTCTCGACGTCTCGGTGAGGACAGCGAAAGAAAGAGAGCTGACACCACAGACCGCGAGCGGCAGGAGGTAGCCATAGCGCAGCGCCTGAGCTTTCGTAAGGGACCCCTGCATCGGGATGAGCACTCTGGCTATGATGATGGCTCCCGGCACGCACACCATTACATAGCCTACGCAGAAGCCCAAGGCGGCGCCAGGTTCGACACCCAAGAGCATCAAGCTGCTCACAGATCCGATCACTCCTAAAAAAAAAGCCGACGCAAAACCCAAGGCGATCTTGAATTCCGCTTCCCTCCTCTCCCTCAACACGGCGGAGTCGACACAAGTAAATCCACCAGCTTCTTTGATCTCTGCCTGGAGGCGCTGCTGGTCATCCTCGTTCGAGCATCTGGCCATCTCTGAGGTGCAAGCACCACACGCGATCAACGTCTTTGCAATGTCAACACGTATGCCGACCTTGACGGCTGCGAAGAATATTTCATAGACGCACCAAAGCCTGTTGTACATGTCCGCCTGCCGTGTCGGTACGACGACCATCCCCCTAGGTGACGGTCCCAAGACCTGCAGAGTCTTCGCGACGGCGGCTGCCAAGGCGAAAAGAAGGCCCACAACTTGGAGAGGCCACGCGTATTCCGGGCACGGCTCTGCCACATACGTCCCACAGATTTCAGCGTCAGCTGCGGCCGAATACTTACACATTCTTGCTGGACCTGCAGTGTGATCCACGAAGTGATCAGCGTAGTGACCATTATGCTTGATGCCGTCGATGCTGAGAAGTATTCCATGGCATTGCCCATCCAGCTTGGGAAGTCGGGAGAACCAAAGCGGATAGGCGAACAAGAGCAACAACGAAATCAAGAAACATGCAGTGGGGAGCCACTGTAAGACGTCAACATGCCTGGAAAGTGGGCCAGACTGCTGGTCTAGGCGCTTCACATTGGAGAGAACACGACCGAATGGGGTCTCGGAGGGGACTGTCCCGATTTGTTCTTGAATACTGGGGCCAGCCCCGTCCTCACACTGATAGATGGAAAATGCGCAAATGAAGAGCACGTCACCAACACGAGTGGAGCCGATCACCTGTGCCAGAAACTCCTCGACATTCTCGGCCCAGCAATGGGAGACCATCTTGTTCACCTCCAAGGGCTTTTCGCGGTTTATCAACAGCGCGAGGCCCATACCGGACCCCATGGTACGAGGCTTCACGTAATCGTTCACAAAGGTGTACATGGTCGTGTCTGGATCCCAATGAGGGTCCATACGAATTTGCATAAGCAACTCCTCACACTGCTCCCTGCTCATGCCCCAATGCTCACCGAATCGGTCGACCCCTTTGCCATCCTTCTGCGGCTTACCGTGAACCCCCTTCGGTACCACCACCGAACTCTCTAAATCGCTGGGAACAATGCGGGTCGTCCTGCTCCACCCAAACGGCATCAAGCCAGGGCAAGCAACCGTGGTCAGCGCTGACGGGGGATGCCGAGACGCCCAGCTTGAGCCAAAATGGCTACGGAAACCTTCAGGTCCACTTTGTGGTACCCAGATCCACTCATGCATGCTCAGACTCACGCATGCTCAGACCACTCACGCTCATATGTACGCATGCTCAGTCAAGTCATGTTCCAACTCATGCAAACAATGCGCTCACACTCTGATGAGTCACAATCAGGCTCCCTCATGTTCAGACTCAGACTCAAATATTTCGCACGCCTTGTCACTCATACTTGATTGGACACACCCATACCCGCTCGTCATACTCAGGATCGCCCGTAGACATCACGGTATAGCAAACATAGCAAACATGACGTTCGGACACCCGGAAGAGGAGCCGCCAGGAGGTCGGACATGTGCCCGTTCGCGCCAGGCATAGCATGCGGGCACCCAGAGAAATAGCCGCCAGCTGGTGTTTCCCTTGCCCACTCGCGCTCTGTTTGTGGGAATATCTCGACTTGTTCGCTAGTTTCGGTACCCCCGACTCCTCATCTTTCCGAGCCCCATGGTCGCCGCGGCGAAGCAGGCATAGCATAGCACTTGGGCACCCCGAGGGGGATCTGCCATAGGCTCTTACACTTGCCCGTTTGCACCCAGAACGTGGGACGTCTCAAGCAAATCGCGGGTTTGGGCACCCCCGACTCCTCTCCTACAAGAGGTCCAAGAAGATCCCGATGTAGCAGGCATATCGGTTGGGCACTCCGAGGGGGATCCGCCAGGGAGAGCCCAGTCGCCATAGGCCAAGATTTTCAGTCAGACACTCAAAGACAGAGATGCGCAGAGATGATAACCACCTATTTGGATCTCCAAGTCCAATTATTCTAAGTCGACAAGAGGGTCAGGGGCGAAGCGTGAACGTCTTTGCGCCCTCGCGTCGTCACCTGGAGCACGGCTCCGACACGGACAGTCAGGAACAAAGGCGCGATCATTTTCGCGCCCCCTCTTTGGGCGCCATTTCTCTCTTTCTCACTCTCTCTCTCTCTTTCTCTTTCTCTCTCTCTCTCTCCCCCTCTCTTTCCCTCTCTCTTTGCCTCGCTCTCTCTCTGTCTCTCCCTCTCTCAATTTCTCCCTCTCCCTTTCTCTTTGCCTTTCTCTCTCTCGTGCTTGAGGGAGCGCGGTATCGACTCGCACTTCTTCCCCCGCGCCGTTCCTTCTCTGGGGGCGGGCGAAAGAGGGTGTTCATAGAGAGGGGCGTAGCGAATCACCTCCCGCAGCTGTTGTTTTTTCCTGGCGCCTCCCAGCGCCGGAGGCGGCCATGTACACCTGCATGGCATCCCGCCCTCCTCTCCGCCGCCTTTTCTCGGCGGCGCGCCCCGGGGAGAAGTGAGAAGGGGCAGGCCTTCTCAGAAGGCTCGCAAGTCTCCCCGGCCTTTCTAAGCCTTCCCCGAAGACACAGAAAACCTCTCAAAGGCGGGAGGGCTTCTGAGAATGCCTTCTGAGAAGGCCTTCTCCTTCTCAATCTCCCCCTTGTTCGCTGCCGATTTTCAGACAGCGCTGAGATGGAGAGCGAGTCCCGACTTGCGTGACGTTCCGATTTTCTGCGGGCCTCGCCACGCCACCCCCCTCTCCCCCATCCATGCAGGGAAGCTTGACAGAATCTGCAGGAAAACTGCCTAAGCGCCCAGAAAGACCAAAGGGGGATGGAGGAGTAGGAGGAGTAGGCGGGGGAGGGGAAGGAGGACACGGACAAGCTAACGAAAGAGCACGTGTTCTGGGCATCGGGGAGGCCTGTCCCATGACGGCTGGGACGTTTGCAACTCTGCGGCAGCACGCGAAGGCATAAACCTTCCAGTCGACCAGGAAAATGCGTTCCCGAAGACGGACAAGATGATGTCATGTCGTTCTCTTGGTAGGTGGATCTCTCAAACTCTCCGCTGCCTCTGAGGTGTGCGTTGCGAGCAGGAACGCAGCAAAGCCACACGAAAGCGCGGTATTGACAGTGTAGCTCCGCACACGTGACAAACGTTAACGAGCAGGAACACAGGAAATCCCCAGGAGAGCGCGGCATTGACAGTGGAGCTCAACATTGACACGGTGTTCGCAAACAGGGAAGTTAGGAGGAGGAGGAGGAGGAGGAGGATGTGGAAGTAGAAGAGGGGGAAGAGCGAGCCCGCCGCGAGGGTGTCGCCTCCGCCTCGATCCGCTCCCCGCTATAGACCTGCGCGGTCGTCACCGTTCTTGTCGCCGCCACCAGCACCGAGGCTCCAGGCTCGAGGAGAATAACCAGGATCGAAAAGCGAGGATCGACGTCTTCAGACGTTTTCTGGCTACTCAGGGCCTCTGGAGGCCTCCGTGGACCTCTGGCGGCCCCCAGAGGCCGCCGTCGTCGTCGCCGTTGCCGGCGTCGTCATCGTCGTCGTCGTCGTCGCCGCCGCCATCCGGAACAGCATGCGTATTGCGCTCGTGCCTTGCCATGAATAACTCGAGCACATCGAAACTGATGCCCGACCATGCAGTCAGCCCACATACTTAGGAAGGATGAGCGACGTTCCAAGGTTACCCTTGCATCCTTGCCCGTTCGTCCCAGCCGTAGCGACTTTCGCTGGCATAGCCCTCCGAGGCCCTCGCATCCTTACACCGCATCCTCATTATATGGGTTGACTGTATCGACTTGCCCGAGAGCTGGCGTGACGACTCGACCCGTGGACTCGGAGCCACGATGTCCGCTTGGGGCACAGGTTCTGCTTCCATGATCAAGCGTAACGAATACTACGGCCTAGTGTTGCTTCAAGCGCGCTTTCAAACATGATGCATCATAATGTTCTCTCGTTCGTCATGGTTTCAGATAAGTTTAGCAGCTCTGGGGTTACCCTCCGGGGGTATTGACATGTTGGAGCCACTCAGTGTGGCAAAGGTAGCCCTCTTGCTGGTTGGTTGGGAGGACCTTGGGAAGGTGGCCATGGCAACGGTCCAGGATATCAATGACACGCTCGTCTTACAACGCCACTGGGTGTAAATCATGGCGGGCGCTGCGCCTTGTCTTACTAGACTAGAAAGGGCCTGACTGCGCAGCTGGCAGGGGGGCCGCTGCAAGGTCAAGCGGAAGGCGGACACGCTCAAAAGCCACACGCATGTTTTGGGAGGTCGCTCCGATGTCATCACGAGCGCGATCACAAACACATACTTACTAGCGCTTCTGGGGAAAGGCCGAGCGCGTCAGGGTGCGAACGAGCAGAAGGACGCCGACTCGCCGACGCTGTTCTGGGGATGGGACGGGTGGGACGTGCAGCCCATGGCAGGAAGAAGACACCTGGCAGTGCGGCGATGAATTCCAACAGTCTAGGGCAACAATGCGATGGTACCCCTGGACAAAAGATGGGCAAGTCGACAGCCCCCCACCCTCAACAAAACAACAACAGCATGACATGCTTTCGCGGAAATGGAATGCGAACAACCAAACCAGGGATAGTCGGGGACCAGGCCTTACAAACAACACGTTGCAGAACGATGGAACCCTCTGGATTGGGGGCAATCGGGACAATCAGCTGCAACGGAGGGTGGCGCCAGGGCCAGGATGATCGTGGACAGAGCGGGAGACTGCGACAACGGGAGGCAGTTCCTCCCAGGCAGATGAAATCCACTTCAGTGCAAGCACCCGTTGGGGAACACATCAGGGGCAACGCACAGGACTGAAACTTGCGACCTCTTGAAATTACGTATGCAAGAGTATCTCCGCCGAGACAGAGCAGGACTGCGATACTCACGGCAGTCGGACCGAGGACGCTTCCTGGTGCGACTAATTCGGTGGCGCATACAAGGGGGTGGCGCGAGGGTGGCGGCCACTTAAGATGGCGTGGGGGGTCCGATAGGGATGGGGGCTCCGTAGAAAGTCTGGAAGTTTTTCAGAAGGCTTATTAGAAGCCAAAGGGGTTTCACGAAGCCCCAACCCACCTTCTCAGAAGCTCTACCGCCTTCTCAAAGATCGCCTCCCTCGCACCACTCCCTTGTGCGCACCGCCAGTTTCCCTGGCGCGACTGATGGAAAGGCGGTACCTTGATCATTTGCGGCATGTGCTGCGATTCATGTCATGGGGTGGGCACCGGCCGCCCGCCCAGCAAAGCGGATGGTAGTCATCATCCAAGCAATGCCACATACCAAGACACTGGAAACACACGCGGCTGGGTTCGCATTCAAACGTGCCGAAGCTTGGGCAGAGGGACATCTGACGCGGCCGCACGACGGTCGAGCGTCGTCCACACGTGCACACAACTCCTGCCATGGCCAGCCACGCTGTTCGCGCCCAGTTTCCCCGCGCCCAAAATCAAAAACACCACTCGAAAACTTGCTAACTGGCCCAAACAAGTTTCTCCTACACCAGCGAAGTGGCGGCACCGTCGCGAGCCCTAAGCAGGGGCACGCTTAGTCGGATTCCACCTGGCGTTGCAGATGGGTGGGCTGGAAGGACAGTCGCGTGCAGAATTAGCCTGGCGAAAGATCCAACCATATGCAGTTGTGCGTACCAAAATGGTGAATATCTTCTTCGGTGGCGCTCCCTATGGGGCCACGACCCTGTGAGGAGTGTGCCGACATGGGTGCGGCGGACGCATGCGGGCGGTGGCACTGGAGCCTTCGGTGGAGTCCACGATGGGGTGGCAACACGTGTGAGGGGTGTGCCGAAATAGGCGTGGAGGACGCAAGTGGAAGGTGGCACTCGGGCTTTCGGTGGAGCTCCTTATGGGACCACGAAGCGTGTGACGGGTGTGCCGAACTGGGTGTGGGGGACGCATGTGGACGGTGGCCCTGGGGCCTTCGGTGGAGCTCCAAATAAGGCCACGAAGCGTGTGAGAGGTGAGCTGAAATGGGTGCGGGGGACGCATATGCACGGTGGCACTGGGGCGTTCGGTTGAGCTCCTTATGGGGCCACGAAACGTGTGAGGGGTGTGCCGAAATGGGTGTGGAGGACGCAAGTGGACGGTGGCACTGGGGCCTTCGGTGGGGTTCCTATGGGGCCATGCAAAATGTGAGGGGTGTGCCGCCTTCGGTGGAGCTCCCTATGGCGCCACGAAGCCTGTGAGGGGTGTGCCGACATGGGTGTGGGGACCGCATGCGGGCACCCCCGCTAGGGCCTTCGGTGGAGCTTCCTATGGGTTCACGAAACGTGTGACATGCGGGCACCACCCGTAGGGCTTTCGGTGGAGCTCCCTATGGGTCCACGAAACGTGTGACAGGTGTGCCGAAATGGGTTGGGGGACCGCATGCGGGCACCCCCACTACGGCCTTCGGTGGAGCTCCATGGCCACGAAACATGTGAGAGGTGTCCCGAAATGGGTGTGGGGGGTGTGCATGCGGGCACCCCGACTCGGGCCTTCCGTGGAGCTCCCTATGGGGCCACGAAACGTGTGAGGGGTGTGACGGAATGGGCGTGGAGGACACACGCGGACACCCCCACTAGGGCCTTCGGTGGAGCTCCCTACCTATGGTGCCACGAAACATGTGAGGGGTGTGCCGGAACGGGTGTGGGGACCGCATGCGGGCACTTCCACTAAGGCCTCCAGTGGAGCTCCATATGGGGCCACGAAACATGTGAGGGGTGTACCGAAATGGAGGTGGGACCGCATGCGGGCACCCCGACTAGGGCCTTCGGTGGAGCTCCCTACGGGGCCACGAAACGTGTGAGGGGGGTGCCAACGTGAGGGGGGTGACGAAAGAGGGAGGAGGGGGGAGGAGGAGTAGATGAATAGAGGAAAAGAGGAGAAGAGGAGAACGCGTGGACTGTCTCTTCGAAAGAGGACCCAACACCACAGGATGGTTGGGAAGTCAGCCTGGCAAAAGGCCCAACCACATGTAGTTATGAGTACCGCAATTCTGGGTATCTTATTCGGAGGAGCTCTATGGGGCAACGCAGCGCTGCTCTGGGTGGGGGAGACGCATGCCTGGAGCCTTCGGTGGAGCTCCCTATGGGGCCACGAAACGTGTGAGGGGTGTGCCGAAATGGGCCTTCGGTGGAGCTCCCTACGGGGCCACGAAAATTGTGAGGGGTGTGCCGCAATGAGTGTGGAACCGCATGCGGGCACCCCCGCTAGGGCCTTCGGTGAAGCTTCCTATGGGGCTACGAAACGTGTGAGGGGTGTGCCGAAATGGGTGTGGGGACCGCATGCGGGCGCTGCCACTGAGGCCTTCGGTGGAACTCCCATATGGGGCCACGAAACGTGTGAGGGGTGTGCCGGAATGGAAATGGAACCGCATGCGGGCGCTGCCGCTGGGGCCTTCGGTGGAGCTCCCTATGGGGCCACGAAACGTGTGATGGGTTTGACGGAATGGGGGTGGAACCGCGTGCGGGCGCTGCCGTTGGGGCCTTCGGTGGAGCTCCCTATGGGGCCACGAAACGTGTGAGGGGTGTGCCGGAATGGAGGTGGAACCGCATGCGGGCGCTGCCGCTGGGGCCTTCGGTGGAGCTCCCTATGGGGAACGTGTGAGGGGTGTGCCGAAATGGGGGTGGAGCCGCATGCGGGCGCTGCCACTGAGGCCTTCGGTGAAGCTCCCTACGGGGCCACGAAACGTGTGAGGGGTGCGCCGAAATGGGGGTGGAACCGCATGCGGGCGCTGCCACTGGGGCCTTCGGCGGAGATCCCTATGGGGCCACGAGAAGTGTGAGGGGCGTGCCGAAATTGGTGTCGATGATGGTGACAGTAACGGCGATGATGATGGCGACGATGGTGATGATGACGATGATGCCGATGATGACGACCATGATGATGACAACGATGATGATGATGAGGAGGAGGATGATGATGGTGATGAGGATAATGACGATAATGATGACGATAATGATGGCGATGATGATGATGATGATGATGATGATGATGGTGATGATGATGATGATGATGATGATGCTGATGATGATGATGATGATGATGATGACAATGATGATGATAATGATGGCGATGATGATGATGATGATGATGATGATGATGATGGTAATGATGATGATGATGATGATGATGATGATGATGATGATGATGATGATGATGATGATGATGATGATGATGATGATGCAGGAGGGAGGAGGAGGAGGAGGCGGAGGAGGAGGAGGAGGGAGGGGACAGCGGGAGGAGTGAACGCGGGGCGCTGTCTCGTCAAAACGAGGACCCAACACCACAGGATGGTTGGGAGAAAAAGAACGAGAGAGCACGCATACACACACACATACACACACACACTTGGAACACGTTTTCCCAACCATCCTGTGGTGTTGGGTCCTCGTTTTGAAAAGACAGCGCCCCGCGTCCCACCTCCTCTCCTCCTCTCTCCTCTCCTCCGCCGTCCGCATGCGTCCCGCACACCCATTTCGGCACACCCCTCACACGTTTCGTGGCCCCATAGGGAGCTCCACCGAAGGCCCCATGGCTGCCGTCCGCATGCGTCCCGCACACCCATTTCGGCACACCCCTCACACGTTTCGTGGCCCCACAGGGAGCTCCACCGAAGGCCCCAGTGCTGCCGTCCGCATGCGTCCCGCACACCCATTTCGGCACACCCCTCACACGTTTCGTGGCCCCACAGGGAGCTCCACCGAAGGCCCCATGGCTGCCGTCCGCATGCGTCCCGCACACCCATTTCGGCACACCCCTCACACGTTTCGTGGCCCCACAGGGAGCTCCACCGAAGGCCCCAGTGCTGCCGTCCGCATGCGTCCCGCACACCCATTTCGGCACACCCCTCACACGTTTCGTGGCCCCATAGGGAGCTCCACCGAAGGCCCCATGGCTGCCGTCCGCATGCGTCCCGCACACCCATTTCGGCACACCCCTCACACGTTTCGTGGCCCCACAGGGAGCTCCACCGAAGGCCCCAGTGCTGCCGTCCGCATGCGTCCCGCACACCCATTTCGGCACACCCCTCACACGTTTCGTGGCCCCATAGGGAGCTCCACCGAAGGCCCCAGTGCTGCCGTCCGCATGCGTCCCGCACACCCATTTCGGCACACCCCTCACACGTTTCGTGGCCCCACAGGGAGCTCCACCGAAGGCCCCAGTGCTGCCGTCCGCATGCGTCCCGCACACCCATTTCGGCACACCCCTCACACGTTTCGTGGCCCCACAGGGAGCTCCACCGAAGGCCCCATGGCTGCCGTCCGCATGCGTCCCGCACACCCATTTCGGCACACCCCTCACACGTTTCGTGGCCCCACAGGGAGCTCCACCGAAGGCCCCATGGCTGCCGTCCGCATGCGTCCCGCACACCCATTTCGGCACACCCCTCACACGTTTCGTGGCCCCACAGGGAGCTCCACCGAAGGCCCCAGTGCTGCCGTCCGCATGCGTCCCGCACACCAGGTGTGTGGCGTGCCGACATGGGCGTCGCGGCGCGCGGGCGCTGCCGTCGGGGTTCCCAGGGAAGCCCCCTGCAGAGGCGACGCTCAGAGTCACGAGTACCGAGAGTCACGCAGACCCAAACTGTTCACAGTCGTATACATACATTTACACTGGGCGTATCCATGCACGCATTCATGCGAATAGAATCAATCGCGCGCAGATTCATTCATAATCAGACTCGCTCGCGATCCGACTCGCACGCGCTCAAGCTTTCATATTCGGACCTATCGTCTTCGTTCGTGTTGTGTACACTGCCACGCATTTCGGCACACCCCTCATACGGCTCGTGGCCCCATAGGGAGCGCCACCGAAGAAGATATTCACAATTGCGGTACTCTCAACTGCATATGGTTGGTCCTTCGCCAGGCTAATTTAGCGTCGCGTCCACGCGCGCAGCGGCGCGGCGAGGAGCAGGTCGAGCGAGAGGCGCGCGAGGGCCGGCCCCGAAACAAGCGCGTACACACACATACACACACACACACTTTTTCGTCAGCGGCGAGGCGGCGAAATCCGCTCCAGCGAGACGCTAGATAGGGGCACTAACTAATTAGCGAATGGGTGGGCGAGCAAAGAGGGAAGGGGGACGGCCGAGAGGAAGAATGAAGGCGATGAAGAGTAAGGCGATGAGCAGCCGGGCGGGCAGCAGCAGCAGCCAGGCGCGCAAAGCCAAAGCACACACACCATCTCGAATGCTCACCGTCCGACATGCACCGAGCTACACCGCACCCAAATACACAACCCGAAAACTTGACGACTGGCCCCCTCCCCCTGCCGCCCCAGGAGCCCCGGGCGGTGCGAGCCCTCCGCGCGAGCGGCTCCCGCCTGGTCGTGCGGCATCCTCACGCCCAGGGTGAGCGACTTGCTGCGGGACTTCGAAGCCGACTTGGAGCGCGACTTCCGCGCCGACTTGGAGCGCGACTTCCGCGCCGACTTGGAGCGCGACTTCCGCCGCGACTTGGAGCGCGACTTCTGCCTCGACTTGGAGCGTGACTTCCGCCTCGACTTGGAGCGCGACTTCCGCCCGTTGGTGGCCGCCGGGGCGTCCTGCCGAGAGGGTGGGGGGGGGGCCGGGGCGGGAGCACCGGCTGCACGAGGAGTCATCATACTCTTTCTGCCTCAGCGGGCCTCTGCAGTTGCTCGACATCCGACCAGCCCTCTGGGCGTAGGTGGTCTAGAGAGGCTCCTCTTCCAACCCCCTTCTTCCCCTTCGGGGAGGGGTTTACTCCTCCCACTACCCCCTCCCCAGGACCTGGACGGGGCGCCCCGCGAGCGGTCAGCGCATCTAGCATGGCCGAAGACGGCTCCAAGAGGGCCTCAGAGTGCCCAAGATGACCTCCAAGATGGCACAAGATAGCCCAAGATGCCTCAAGATTGCTCCTTAGATGCTTCAGGGATCCCCAAGACCGTTCCACGACGGTTCCAAATGGCCACGGAAGTCTCACGGAGCCCCCAAGAGGCCCAAACCCTTCAAAAACAAATTATCCCAGTGCGACCCTACCTAGGAGTTGGAGCCTCTAGGAAAGCAACATTAGTAGGAGCAGCAATAGTGGATGCTGTGCTGCGCTATGCTATGCTATGCTATGCTATGATATGCTATGCTATGCTATGCTATGCAATGCTGCGCAATGCTATGCTGGGCTGGGCTAGGCTAGGCTAGGCTATGCTATGCTGCGCTATGCTATGCTATGCTGCGCTATGCTATGCTATGCTATGCTATGCTTTTGCTTTGCCTTCGCTTTTTCCTTTACTTTTGCCTTTGCTTTTGCTTTTGCTTGGCACCCAGGGAGCGCAACTGGGGGAACCGCGCGTTTGCTTTTACCTTTGCTGTTGCTTTTGCTTGGCTCCCAGGGGACTGGGGGAACCGCCCGGGGCGATTTCCACTGCCCGGACCCTTTTAAGCCAACAGAGTAAGAACCCTTCTAGGCAGAGCCTAGGTAGGGAATGAAACTTACTATGTGTTGCCTCTTCGCATTTTTGCTTTCGATGGCCTTCCGAGGCCTCAAGACAGCTCCAAGAGAGCTCCAGAAATCCCCACGAGAGGCCTGAGAGAGCCACAGGACGGCCCCAAGAGCGCACGAAGGCGCCCAAAGAGCGCCCACGATTCCAGGCACTCTGGAGGGGCAAGGCAAATTGACGCTCCTCCCATCTTTAGTCGATGTCATCCAAGATGGCTCCAAGAGCGCCCCCAAGCCTCCCAAGAGCGCCGCAAGAGGACCCAAAGAGGCACCAAGGTGGCCTCCAAGAGGCCCCAAGAGGCTCCCCGAGGTACGCAAGAGGCCCGCAAGACGCCCCAAGAACCCCCCAAGCTCGTCATTGTTCTCCTCCTCCTCCTCCACATCCTTATCTTCCTCCTCCTCCTCTTCATCCACCTATTTCTCCCCCTCCTCCTCCCTCACCTCCTCCTCCTCCTCCTCGTCCTCCTCCTCCTCCTCCTCCTCGTCCTCCTCCTCCTCCTCCTCCTCCCTCATCCACCATCGTTCTTCTTCCCCGCCTTTCCCGATTCGGCAGGTCCGCGAAGGCGCATACGGTTCGCTCCTGGGTCTGCGCAGGCTGATCCAAGACTTCAGTTTGTCGACTTCCCCAACTCTGGATCCACTGCAAGATCCTCCGCTTCATTTATCAAGGCAACTCGCCTGGGTATCGTTTGTGGATGAGCTGGTGGGGACACTTTTTTGGGTCGCGGCCGCGAGCGAAAGCGCAGGCGGCGAACAGGATGTCCGGGCCGACGGGCAAGCCTAAACTGGTGGGGGCACGCGAAGCGTCAAGAGTTTCGTAGTAAAAGAGAGGGGGTCACACAATTCCAGACGGCAACATTTTAGTCCCCCCCAGGCAAGCCAAGGAAGGGCGGCCTTGTTTGTCCAGACCCCGCGGAACTTCCCCCCTCAATCAGACCACACCCCTTGTACAGTGAAATCCGAGGTAGCGCTCGCTCACATTATCTGGCCTTTCTTCTTGCCCCGTCCCCTGGTCTTAATGTGAAAACTACTGCGCCCGAGTCGGTCTTTACCCTGCGCGTGTGCCGCGAGACCGCTGCGAGCTTCGAGCTTGCAACCCGATAAAGGTCAAACATGGGGCCCGAGGGCTTTCGTCTGCCGCGAAGAAGCCAAGGACGGAACACGAAAATGCAAACGTATGGGAACCAAGATAGGCACGGCGAGACGATGGCGAGAATTTGCAAGAGGAGGCATGTGGTGGACAAGGAGTATCGATTTCACGCGGAGCAAATATTCTATTTCCTGGCGCATGCACATTGTCTAAGAAAATTTGGCTCAGCAGGGACCCTGCATATATGGAACGCCAGCCCGATATGAATACATCTGCATCGACGTGCGTTCATCGTCAGTCCTGGTTGCCTTAAAACGATCGGGGATGAGGTGGGTGATGAGGAGGGTGACGACGAAAGGAAAGAAACCCACGCTTGCTACATGAGAGCTGCGCGATTGGATGGTAGCAAGACCGTGGCGCGACGCCAAGGGGACGATGAGTGGCTGTGGTAGCAGGATGCTCTTCTTTGGGAAGGGGGGTCTTCAGTATGCTGCATAAGATATCGTCCGTTGCCATCATGACAATCATAATCCACATCAGGAAAGCTGAGGTCCAATGTTTCCTCTCAAACTGAAGCAGGAAAACCCACTGCAAGGCGCAACACTGGATTCTCACTCACTGATATTGACGGACGTTTCTCTGCGCAGCGCGATGACAAGCTCGGAGACGCAACCGTGACTCAAGTGAGCTAACCAACATGCCGTGCACACGAGGGGAACTGAAACGTCCAGTCACATAGACGGGCTGTCCTGCGAGAGATGGCTTATTTAAATCGTCATGGATGGCCTGTACACATTGCAAATGATGTTAAAAGACCATGGCTTCATACGGACAAGCCGAACCGCGGGCACCCTTGCCGGCCCGATCCAGGCCTAACCTCGGCGGTCTCGCAATGCCCCTCTGGACGAGCTGGACGACAGCAAGGCAATGACGGCAGATCTCCTTCTATTTTCCCTTGAACTATTGTGCACCTCTCTGTTCTGCACGTAGATCCGACAATATACGCACATTTATGCACAAGCTCATATGGCGGGTCCAAGACGTCCTACACCTCCCCCAACACAACACGCCATCCCCCCCGCGGACCCGCCGCTGCTTTGTTGCTGCAGGCCTTCCGCTGAGCACTCGCCCTCTGCAGCGCCCAGTCTATTCCCAAAACAATGCTGGCACCTGGGGGAATTCACTTCGGTTCTAAGTTCTAAGGTAATGAGGGGCAACGGTAAGGGGGGACTGGCACAAGGGGGGATTCATCGACCTGGAATCGGCGATACATCGCCGATAGGCCTGCGATCGTGAATCCGCACCTTCCTGGGCGGGGTGAGGCTATCGGGCCCCTATCGGCGATCACTGGGCGATGGGGGGTCGATGCATCCCCCCCTGTGCCTATCACCCCCCCATCGTTGCCCCCAAACTTCGGTTCTGAGGCAACCGGGCCCCAGCGCCGCCCCGGCCAGCTTGTGGCCGCCCCGGCCAGCTTGTGGCCGCCCGTCACCGCCGCCCGTCGCCGCCGTCCGTCGCCGCCGTAATTGGGCTTCGGTGCCGCCCCAGCCGGCGTGTGGCCGCCTGTCGACGCCATTGCGTTGCACTGCTTAGCATTGCATTGTTCAGTGTTGCGTTGCATTGCTTTGCATTGCCTTGCGTCGCTTTGCATTGATTGGCATCGCAATGCATTGTGTTGCTTGGCGTTGTGTTACAATCGAATGCATATCGCATTTCAATCGCATAGCATTGCATTGCTCTGCATCGCCTAGGCTGCACCACATGGACTGCACCACCTGGATTGCACCACGTTGAGATCGCCACCTTGACTGCACCGCAGAAATTGCAACGGCACCACTGTTTGGAGCCAGCGCGGGCTAACATACTCACACACACACACGCACACACACACACACATGTTGACAGATATGCGCATCAGAGTGAGGGAGCCGAACGGTCACTCATTGTCCCTGGGTGCGTGGCTTAGGTGAGAATCCGTGGTGTGGATTCTGCTTGTTGCGTTGTTGTTGTTGTTGGACTATCAATTCTGAACAATAATTATTGTTGATCCCCCCCCACCGGTGCATACTGTTTTTCTCCATCAAAGTGTGCCCCTCGACGGTCGCCCCCTGTTTTTTGACAGGGAAAATATTCCTGCTCAAACTGGCCCCCTGGCCCCCTGGCCCCCGGGTTACAACAACAACGGCTCCCGCCTGAGACTTCCTTACAATTTAGCCAGGACCCCCGCTCCCGCCCGAGACTTCCTCGCATTTTATTTAGGAATCGCGCTCTCGCTTCGGACTTCCTTACAATTTATTAAGGAATCGCTCTCCCGGCGCTCTGGAGTCGCGCTCTCGCTGGAGACTTGCTTGCAATTTACTGAAGAATGGCCTTGCGTTGGAATGTCCTGCAATTTGCCCAAGCGCCGCGCTCCCGACACCCAGGCACCCAGGAGTCGCGCCCGTTGTGGCCCCATGTGCATGCCCTTCGTGGCCCCGTTGTCGCCATTTGTGTCCCCCTCACTGTCCTACGTGGCCCAGTTGCTACCCTCAGTGGCCCCATAGTTGCCTTCTGTGGCCCCGCATTATCTGCACTTCGTGGCCCCCGCTCGTTCGCGCTCTTCGTGGCCCCATACGCATTCCCTTCGTGTCCCCGCTGTCGCCCTTCGTGGCCTACTTCGTGCCCTTCGTGGCCCTGCTGTCGTTCTCTCTCGCTCTCGCTTTCGCTCGTCGTCGCCGTCGTCGTCGTCGTCGTCGTCGTCTTCGACGTCGTCGTCGTCGTCGTCGTCGTGGTCGGTCCCCTGTCCGTCCCTCTTGGGGTCGGGTCGACGGTCCGCGGCCGCCCCGCCGATCAGCGCTGCCGCTGGCCAGGCCGACGGTCCGCGGCCGCCCCGCCGCTTGCCGGGGCCCGGCCGGCAGGGAAGAAAGGTATACCACCCAAAAGGGGTTCGATCGAAGACGACGAGGGCGGTATCGAGGGTTTGGGAAATATCCGTTATTGGACACTCGAGCATATAAGGGTTGTTGCTGTTGTTGCTGTTGTTGTTGTTGATGTTGTTGTTGTTGTTGTTGTTGTTGTTGTTGTTGTTGTTGTTGTTGTTGTTGTTGTTATTGTTGTTGTTGTTGTTGTTGTGTTTGTCGTCGTCCCACCCGCGACCCACCCCGCGACCCACCCCGTGACCCACCCAGCGACACACCTGCGACCCAACCCGCGACCCACCTGCGACCCACCCCGCGACCCACCTGCGACCCACCCCGCGACCCACCCGCGACCCACCCGCGACCCACCCACGATCCACCCCGCAACCCACCACCGACCCACCCGCGACCCATCCGCGACACACCTGCGACCCACCAGCGACCCACTTGCAACCCACCCGCGACCCACCCCGTGACCCACCTGCGACCCACCCACCCACGACCCACCTGCGATCCAACAGCGACCCCACCCGCGACCCACCCGCGACCCACCCGCGACCCACCCGCGACCCACCCGCGACCCATTTGCGACCCACCAACGACCCACCCGCGACCCACTCAATATATAAAGTGCTAAAATTCGTATACGGAATGCGAAATGCGGCGCCTGCGGCGGGCTGCCTTGCATCGGTTTAGGAGAGCGCCCGCAACCCCAACGCTTTCATTCTCCAACGTGCTCAAATCGGCGCCTGCGGCGGGCTTTTTCATAGCTTGAAAAATTCTGCGCCTGCGGCGGGCTTCTTCCGAGCCTCTTATCCGCAACTGCGGGGTGCTACGTATAGCTGTGCATATACATCTATGTATGTAGGTGTTTGTGTGTGTGTGTGTGTTGAGGAGGGGCCGCGCAGCGGAGCCTCCGGTGCTTTCGGCTTCGGGGGCGGAGTCGGCGGTCTCTCCCTCCGCCTGGACTTGGAGCGCGACTTGGAGCGCGACTTCCGCCTGCTGGGTCGGACGAAAGGGGGGGATGGCAGAGGGGGTGAGGCAAGCCAAGTGCGCTCGCGCCATATCTGACATGCGACCCCTTCCACCCATCCCTTCTCATTGCGCCGTGTTTTCTCTATCCGCCGGCGAGAGGCGGACGAGGACGAACAGCAGCAGCAGGAGCTGGAGTGGAAGACAGGGGAGGAACAGGCCACGGGAAAGCGGCGGGAAAAATGAGGAGGGCGACAACGATGAAAAAATAATGGCGCCACGAAGCGTGTGAGGGGTGTGCCGCAAGAGGAGAGGAGAGGAGGGGGAAGAGGGGGGAGGAGAAAGTGGGAGGTGGGAGTTGCGAGGACGCGGGGCGCTGCGGTTTCGAAACGAGGACCAAGACCCCAGGAAGGTTGGGATAACCGCTTTTCGAATCCTGCGTGCGAGACCAAGGAGGCGGAGATGGCCAAATATCTTCTGGACAAAGTGAGGGGGAGAGAGAGAGAGAGAAGGGAAGAGTAGTATGCGTCGTGCGCAGCTGTGCATCAGCTGCACGCAGCTGGTCTTCCAAGGAAGAAACAGAAACCTGAGTGAGCATAAACTCATGATGGTCCGCGCACATCTCCAGGATCGACGCTGGACCACCCTGGCGGAGCTTCTGGCGCCTCTGGCGCGCTTCGTGCGCCAGGCATGGGGGCCCAGCGCCGATCAGCGAAACCAGCGCGGCCCTCGGAATGTGCACGATCGCTTCTGTTTGGGCTAGCTGCTGCGTCCTGCTCCGAGAGTCAGCTGCACGGAGCTGGCTTCCCTGGCCCCCCGCGGCGCCGGGAGCGGTACGTGTATGGAGGAGGGGGCCTGCAGGTGGCGCTGACACCAGCTGGGTGCGGCAGACTCCGTATCCTCCCCTTCCCCCATTCCCCCCATTTCCGTCCAACCCGAGCCTGGACTTGGAACGGGACTTCCGCCTCGACCTCGAGCGAGACTTCCGCCCGCTGGCAGCCACCGGTGCGTCCTGTCAGGCGGAGGAGGAGGCTCGAGGATCGAGACCCGATGATCGAATGAAGGCTTCTAGACGTTTGTGGGTGCTTGTTGGATCTCTCGAGCCTGCTGTGAGCATGGGGGACATCTCCAGGGAGAAAGACCATGGGAGGCCTCTGGAGGCCTCTATGGGGACCGCCTCGCTGCGGCCGGTATGGGCAGCGGCGCGAGGCCAAGAAGGCGCAGCGAGAGGTAAGGGCGAGATGAGGGCACGAGGGGAGCCAAGATGAGAACGGGCACGAAGAGGAAGCCGCGGACGAGATGAGGCGGACGAGATGGGGAAAGTGGGGAGGAAGACGTCAACGAGGAATAATGAGACCATCTCGAATGTCTACCACGTGAGAGCCGCGAGATTGGATGGCAACGAAACCGCGGAGCGATACGAAAAGACGATGCCCACCGAATACGGCCCCTCCGCGGTAGGCCACCATAGGCAATGTAAACCCAATTGCCGCATCATGTGATGCCCTGCGCACCCACAGTTTGGCAAACATAGTGGCAACTTGTGAGAGCATGTGGGGTCCAAAACCAGGACGGCGGAACAGCGAAGCGCATCAGAAACACAACGCATGTGCGTGAACGGCCGTGCAGGGCCGTTGTCATGCACGTGAGCGGACGGCCGTGCACGGCTGTGCACACACAGCCAGAAGATGCCCTCCAGAGCCCGAATGAAGGCAAAAAAAAGTAACTATCCAGACGCCGCGGGAGCCTCGATCCTCGATCATCCCAACCCTCAACAAAAAGCCGAAGTACAAACTCTCGGAGGACCGCGAGGGTCTCTTGGAGCGGTGCAGACACCCCCATGGTGCGCCCGGCGCCCCGAGAGCCCACCTTCATGGTTCGTATCATTCGTATCATGCCGGGCCTACCTGCAGGGTCCTGCAAGATCCTGCACTCAGACCCGGGTCAGTGCACCCCTGGCTCTGCAGAATCCTGCCGTGACCCCGGTTTGCTCTGACCCCGCCTCGAAGCTCCCGATCATTCTCGGAGGCGGCCCAGAGGGGGGCGTCCGAGAGGGAGGGGCGCAAATGCATGTGCGCGGCCCAAGTGAGGGCCAAGGACGTAATGAAATAAGAAGAGGCGCCATGAGATCTGAGGAGACATCATGGCCCACGCCATGACATCCACCCCCCCCCGTAGTCATCACCCCCCTCTTTGCCGCCCCCGACATTCCGTCGTTCTCCTCCGGGGAGGATGGGCGGGACGTTTCTGCGGGCGTGCGGGCGTTCGATCATCCCAGCGGGCGGGACCCACGACGGGCGTGTCAGGCGGACGGAGCCCACGGGCGGGTTGGGCGGGCGGGCGGGACATTGGTTGAAACATTCGCTCGTTGATAGGCCTCGGTTTGTTTTCGTCGTCGTCGACGTCGTCAGTGTCAGTGTCAGTGTCAGCATCGTCGTCGTCAGCGTCGTTTTCGACATTGTCGTCGCTAGCGTCGTCGTTATCGTCAGCGCCGTCGTCGGCAGCGTCGTTCGCGTCGTCGCCGAAGTATCCGTCGTGTTCGACGACGGCGTCGTCGTCGTGCAAGTCGTTGACGTGTGAGTCGTCGTCGTAATGTGTTGCCGTTGTGCGCGTCGTAGTTGCTGTCGGCATCGTCGCCAGCCTCGTCGTCGTCGTCTTCATGTCAGTCGTCGGTTGACCGCGCGCAGGAAAGGGGTCTCTTCCGCCCCACGAGGTCCGAACCCAAACCCCCGACCCCCACCTATTGGGGATGGCGGAGGTTAGTGCCAGGATTGTGGAGGGTGGGTGACGGAGTACCTGTTAGGGCCCCACCCTACACGCTCAACCGCAGACAAGCACATGCTCTTTATCATATCGAATCAGTCCTCACCAGCCTCCCTGCTTGTCGTCGTCCCCTCCCTCTCCTCCCTCCCCTCCCTCCCCTAACCAAGCAGCCCCTGGACATCTCCAGGGGTGCACTCTGATCAGGACTCGAAGCGGATCCAGCCGCGGGGACGAAAAGCCCCCCGGGACGAGAAGCCCCCCGGAGGCCCGAGAACCCCCCCCCCGGAAGACTGGCGGCGAAGAGAAGAACCCTGGAGACCCGAAGCCGATCCTCGATCCCGTTCTTCCCTCCCTCTCTCTCCATCCTTCCCTCCTCCATCCGTTATCCTCCGCCTTCATCATCCGAGTCATGATCCAATCGACTGTCTTAACCTTGGCTCGTGGCTCGTTTCGCGTTGTCCAGGGCGAACGAACCGAGCCACATCATATCCTCCCTCCATCCCTCATCCCCCACCCTCCCTCCCTAATCCGAAGCCTCCCAAATCGGGTCCGAGCAGGATCGCGCCACATCGCCGATGCATCAACGCAGTCGGCGTGAGGAATATTGGGCTCCACACCGAGCCGCATCGCCGATGAATCGGCGATGCATCCGCGATGCGGCGCGATCCTCCGACCCCATCTACTCCGACCCCATCTAGGAGGCCTAGACTAATGCACCCGCCCTCCTCCTTCTCCTCCTCCTCCTCCTCCTCCTCCTCCTCCTCCATCCTCGATCTTCGTTCTGATCGTCATGCTCCCTCCCTACATCCCCCATGCTCCTGCCTGTATTATTGTCTCTGTCTCTTCCTCCATCCACCCTGGGGAAATCAAACTGTAAAGATATACCGTGATATACCCCTACTCCCCAGACCTCTCTCGGGATGCGTTCCGACCAGGATCTCGAAGCGAATCCGGAAGTGGCGCCCGGGATGCCCAGAGAAGCAAACACGAGGGAAGGGTATCGGTATCGGTACAGCTCCCTCCTGTGACACCCTCCCTAACCGATCCACCACCCATCTTCATCCATCACTTGACGCGGGCATGGTTTGGCGGAGGGCAGAGTGGGGAGAGGGGCTGAGGCTTCTCAGAAGGAGGCTGCTTCTCAGAAGACGCGGGCTTCACACCTGCAGACAGGGCCCGTGCCTTCTAAGAAGCCCTCCCCCTCCCCCTACCCCCATCTGCACGCGGCCGAATGGCGCCCCCTCCAGCTCCGACGAATTCGGCTACACGCAGGAGTGACCCGGGGTAAGAGTGACCTCTGGTGCGCGGCTTTGCGGGGGCCGCGGGGGGACCACGAGCGCGCAAGACGCTGCTATCGCGCCGCGCTCGGCGATCGGGGGATCCCTGTGGGTGTAAGGTCACTCTGGCGAAGGGTCACTCTCATGAGTAGTCTTAGGTCGGGCGTGTCCCCCTTCTGGCGTATTTGGGACGAAAAATAAAAAATACCCCAACAATAATCAAGAATGGTCAAAAAGTCGTCCCAAGACTATTTGTCTTATATTTTTGAAGTTCCCTCCTGTAGAAAGGACAGGCCCGACTTGAGAGTAGTCGGCGAATCCCCCGCCTGCGCACGCTGGGGCGGGCCACCCTCCGAGGCCGCCCATCGTGCGCCCGAGGCCCGTGCTGTCCTAGGCTGCGGCCTTCAGAAGGGCCGCGCCTCCCCCTCCTGGGGCAAGACCGAGGCAGGGCAGAATCATGTCGTTATGCCTTTTGCTCAGTATTCTCATGATCACCACCTTGATGAACTGACAACTAACCCTCATACTTATACGACCCCTAGATTTGTCGGGGTGATCTCCGGTGAGGGCTATGGGTGCGTGTTGTCGGATGGGGGTCCCCCGCTCGAACGGGCCCCCCTCGAGGTCAGACAACCCCTGGGGGCCTCCGAAACCTTATGCCTAGGTCATTGGTTGCTTTCCGGAAACTCATCCAGGTGGCGATCATGGATTTGGGAAACCAAAAGGTATCGATACCGCTACTCCCAGGACCTCTCCCGGGATGCGTTCTTTTACTGATAGAGACTGACCGCAAGCGAACCAGCCTTGTTCGAAAAAAACCCTAGCCAGCGCAGGGGACGCACTCGACCCGATCCCACGCACCGCGGGATGGGTCGTCGTCGTCCTCCTCTGCGCTGGCAATGGGAAAGCCTGAGAGGCCGTCCCACAAGGCCAGATCGGCCTGGAAAGCGGGCGGCGGAGAGCACTCCTGCCCCGTCCACCCCACCCCCACCCCCCCACTCCCAGTCCCGACCGTAGGAGAGAGAGCAGGCAGAGGCGGCAGTTCGGCCGACTCCAGCAGCCGTCGCTTCCGCAGCAAAATCGGAGGGCCCACAAACAAGCGGGACCGAAGCGGATGGCAACCTCGCATGAGGTTGCGAAGCCTGTAGTACCTCGAGTCTCTCACGGGGACGCCCTGCCTACGAAGCATCGGCAAGCATTCCTGCGACAGACCTTGGCTCTTCTTCTCCGAGAAAGCCCCGCACAGGGAGCAGAACAAGAAGGGCCCCGCACGGTGAAGGGCGTGGGAGCTGGTCCTGTCCTCGCACCGAAGCTGGCGAAGCACAGAGCGTGTCCTCGCAGACCGAAGGCACACCATGCAGCGGAACCTGTGTGCGACCATCGTCACCGCAGGGTCGAAACGCGAGTGCGGTTTCGGGGGACCAAGTCCCCCCTCAATCGTGCCTATGGCACGGCCAAGTATTTGCGCTTGAGCGTCAAGTGGCGTGATAGTGCCGATCCGAGCGACCAGCCTGGTGCAGAACTGAGCTACGAGGCGAATGGCGCTGCGCGATGCGCCATGCGCAGATCGCAGCTGGAGAGAATCGCCATGGACGGCGGCACCCCATTTAGCCGACTGATCAGCTTGGGCATTGCCGAACCGTTGCCACTCTGAAATCCGTCCCTCCGCTACGGCAGAGGCAGGAGTATGTGCTTTGACGTGAGAAACCTCCACCGACTCTCCCCCGCGGTCAGACACAAGCCTCCAAACCTCCCTCCATAGAAAGGCAAGCGAGTCGCTCGCAGCGGTGCCAGCTCCAATCCCTTGGCGCCAGACATCCACGAGCGGCTTGCAATCCGTATAAAACTTCATCTGAGCCCCCATATACCGCAACGCCATCAAGAAACTGAAGAGCTCAGCCGCTGGCACCGATTGGATGAGACAGGGCAGAGGGCCATGCAGACGAGCGACCACGCGCTTGCTGTCGTCAAG